TTAAAATATTGTTTATATAATTTACTAAGTATTCATCGCATTTTAATTAAAATTAATATCATAAATAATATTATTATTATTATTATTATTAATATTATAATTATTATTAATAGTATTAATATAATTATTATTATCATTATTATAGTTACTAAAAATGTTTTAATTATTAATATTTTTATTAATCTCATTTATTAAATTTATATTATTATTTTTATTAATTAAGCTTTCAAAAGTTTTTTAATCATCGCTAATTTCTTTAACTAATTATTATTAATCGTCTTCATTTAAAATATTATTTTTTTAGATACTATTTTTAATAGGTGAAAAATTTACAATTGAATTTTAAATTTTTTTATTTTTAAATGTAATTTTAGAATATGATTATTCTTAAGAAAATTCTTATAAACTTTTCTATTAATTAGTTTTAATTTTATAAAAACAATGCTTTTTTTCTTTTTAATATCGAAACTATTATCTAAATTTTAATTAAATATTTTACCCTATTATTTTTCTGAAAGTTTAAATTATTCAGCTAATTATAAATCTCTTTATGTACTTTTAATACTTTCAAGAGCTTTACGAAGTCCTTTTTATAATAAATCTTTTGTTTATTAGATTTCAATTTTTTCTTATTATATCCAATCTTAAAATTCTATTTTTTATTAGGAATAGGTTTTAGGCGTTATGTCTTAATTTAATAGCATTTTCTCCATAATAATATTCTATTATAAATATGAAAATAAATAAATTTATATATATAAATATATATAAACATATTAATATTATTATACATATATTTATTATATATTATAGTATAAATTTTTTATGTATTTTATTATTTTATGAATTAATAATAATAATTATGTTATTTTACTATAAAAAAATATTCAATAATATTAGTTTTTACTTGCATTTAACATCTAATATCAAAAGCTTTTTCTCTTTTATTTAAAATTTCATTTATAGCTTTTTCAGAAATAAATTATTTAATTTTATTATTATTTGTAATATCTTTTAGTAATTCATTATTATTATTTTCGCCTAAAGAACTTTTAGAAGATATGTTATCTTATGATTCTTAAGTTTTAAAATTTTTTTAAAAAGATTTTATCTATTTTTTATTTTCTTTTATGCATTTATTCGAAATGAAAATTTCTTTTCCGTTTATTTTTTGATCAATAGAAGAATCTAATAGACATAAATTCGATTAAGGCTAACTTTAAGGAGTACTTAATTAATTTTTTAACATTTAATTATAGCTTAATTCCGATTAATATTCTGTATTTAAAGTAAATGATTTTTATCTTTTTTTATTTTTATTCGAATTATTATTTTATTCTAGTTTTTTTTCGAGTTTTTTCCTAACTAAATATCCTCTGAAAACTTTTTGAATTTTTAAAACAGCTTTTATTTTATTTTATTTTTTTAAAGGAGAATTCTATAGATTTTTTTCATTATTATTTTTTAGTTTTTTTTAAATAAATTTTTTAGAGAATTCCTATAAAAACACTTTTATTGTTTTATTATTTATAGTTTATAATATTTTTTGAGATTTTTATTCGTTATTTTTTTTCTATAATGGTTATTCATGAAGTGAATTATTATTAATTATTTTTTTAAATTAATTAAAAAAACTTTTAAATTAAGAATTTTTTTAATTATTTTAAAATTCTATCTAAGTTTTAGAATATGTTTGCTTTTTTAATAATTGCTTTTTATTTTTTTTAATAAGAGGAATTATATTTTATTTTATGTACTTTTCTTTATTTTCATCTATTTCTTTTATTTTATTATTTTATGAATCTTCTGTTTATTTTGTTTCAAATTTTTTTCTATAAAAAAATAGATACAAATTTATAAAAAATATATATTATTTTTACTTTAAATAAATGCATTATTTCTAATTATTTTTTAAACTAAAAAATAGTTTTTCTTATTTTTTTAAATACTAGTATCTTATTACTACACATTATTTTTATTTTTTTTAACAGTTTTTTTTAAAAAATCATTTAAATTATTATCTTTTTTTAAACTTTTCTATTATTTAGTTTAGTTGATTTATTACTATTATTTTATTTTTTCTAATAAATTTTTTGGTTATATAGTAATTTTAGGATTTATTTAAGACAAATGTATTTTCAAAGAATTTTCTATTTTAGATTTTTTAACTGAATGTATTTAAAATGTTTAAATTTAGTTTTTTAAATTATTAATTAGTTTTTTTTTAATTTTATTTTGTTTTAATTTTTAGGTACTTTTCGATTACTGTAAGCTTATTTCTCTGATATTTAATTTGTTTTTCTTTTCTTCATTTTATTACAATTCTTTTTTAAATTATTTTATTTTCAGATTTGGACTTTAATTTTATGAATGCATTAAATTTTTATTTTAGGTACTTTTTTATAAATTTATATATTGTTTTTTAAAAATTAATTTTTTTATTTTTACTTTTATTATTGTGTATTATACTTTTTTATTGAAGAAAATTTTTCCTTTTAATTGCTTACACTTTAAAATGAACTTATATCATATTAATTTAATTCTAAAGATGGTTTATTTAATTTTTTATGAGCTGTGATTATTAATTTTGGATATTTTTCTATATATTTATATTTTTTTAAGATTAAATGAATGTTTTTATATTATATTATTTTATTTTTTTTGGTAAATAAGAAAATTTATTTTTTAAATGGTTACTATTATTTAGTGAACTCTTACTATCATGTATATCTTTAGAAAGATTTTATCGGATTTTTCGGCATAATATTGCAAAGTTACTTGAATCTCTTTAAAGTAAATTTTTACAAATAAATAATTTATTAAATTATTAAAATTTTACGATGTGTTTTATAAACTTTATGAGTTCATTGATTAAATCTTCTTTAATTTAAAATATTTTTTTTTTAATTTTTAATTTTAAATTTCCTTATTTTGAATTTTGTTTTTTGTTTTTTTTTAAAAAAAAATTAAATAAAATAAATTTGCTTTATAAAATTAATAATATAAAATTATAAAATATATTTTAAAAATATAATTTTAATTTAAAATTAAAATTAAAATTAACAAAAAAAATAAATTATTATTTTAAATAAAACAAAAAAAAATTAAATAAAAATAATAAAATTATATATATTATATAAATTTAATTTATTAATATATATTGTATATCTATATATAAAATATATATTTCATTCTATTGTTTATTAATTATTTATAATATCTTTTCTAATTTTATTTTCTTTTAATAATTTTTCACTCAAACTTTAAAAATATATTTTATTTTATTATTAAAAAAAAAAATATAAAAAATTACATTTCTTATTTTTAACTCCTTGAAAGTTATTATTTTTTTAATATTTCATTACATTATTATCCTTAAAATGATTTAAATGGTAAATTTGTTGATTAAATAAGAGGATTTTTACTTTAATAAATATTTTATTTATTATTATTAGAATTTCTATCACTTAATTTAGCATCAAATTATTAATTATTAAGGCTTTTTTTAATATTCGTTTCAAATTATGTTTCTGTAAAGCTTTTCGGTGTATTTTCTGAATATAATTCGTATTGACTTTTTTCAAACTAAGGTATTATTTAAGATATTTAAAAATCATCGTATTCTTAATATTATTATTAAATACTTAATTTTCTATTTTTCTATTTTATATATTTTAAATAAAATAAAAAAAAATTAAAAAGAAAATTATTTTTACAAAATTTTCTTTTGTAATTTTCCATTAACGAGGTGATTATATTTATTATTAATCATCATTTTATAAAAAATTACTCGATATACTTTATTAATGTTTATTATTAAATTATAAATATACATCTGCTTTCAAAAAATCTCTAAAAAATATTGAATTTCTTACAAAATCAATAATTTATAAATCCCTTATATATTGTTATAAAAGCATTCTTCTTTCTTCTATATCTGCAGGCCTTTTAATATTTAAACTATTTCCTGTTTAGGAATTTATTATTGCTATAGAACTATCAGGAAATTTCATTCCTTAAAAATTATTTTTTAATACATGATGTAATTCACAAAAATCCTTTATAAAAATTATATACGTATTTTTTTTATATATACTTTATATTTATAGGCAATTTGCCATTTTTTTATGTTTTAGAAATTCATTTACATTAGATATTCTGTAAAAGGTTTATTATTTTTGGTTTCCTTTATTATTGTTTGTACTATTGATATTTATAAATTATTACTATCTATATTAGGCGAATTTTGTTAGTTCATAAATTATGATTATGTAATACTAGATTAGGATATTATTTATGATTAAAATACTGATATATTTTATTATTTTTCGTTATTATTATTTATATTGTTTATTGAAGTAAATGTATTTATTTTATTTGAAGAATTTTGGTTTTGTTTATTTGTTATATTTTAACAATTCTAAAAATGTTGAATAAAAACATGAGAAGATATAAGTTTTTAGCAATTCAAGCATTATAAAGATTAACTATTTTTGACCATTTTTTTAAATTGTTTTAGCTTTTGAACTTTTTGGTCTTACAAAGAACACCTTTATTCCAATTTGTCCATTGCAGAAGATAAGTTTCTATTAGTTTCTATAATTTCATATATATTATTATTTTCTGGATCTTATTTATGTATTCCTTCTTTTTTTTTATTTTTTTTAGGAAAAATAAAAAAAATTTGATAAAAAAATTTATTTTAAAAAATAAAATTACAAAATAAAAAATAAAAATAAAAAAAAATAAAAAAACTACATTATAAAACTAATAATAAAGCATCATGAAGTCTTTTATTTTCTTCCAACTATTTTTATAAGAAAATGATTTAATTTTATAAATATGAATTTTGAGCATTAACTTGTTCATTATTTTCATCAATTTGAGTTTAATTATTATTTTAATTAATTTTTTCTTATAATACATTTATTTTTTATAAATTTTAATTATTTAATTATTTTAAAGAAATATTTTCATTTTCCAAAACGAAAATTTTCTATTCATATTTTTTTTTTCGTCTTCCCAATTTTATTTAGAATTTTTATAATCAATTTCATTTAGGCTTTATTTGTGTATAAGAATTCTTTTTCTTTTTCTAAATCTCTTTATTATTTTAAAGAAATTTTTTCCGCAGCTTCCTAACAGATTTTATCGGTCAAAATTTTAATGAAATCTTCACTATCTGAATTTTTTCCAACTTCTTTTAAAAAAACATTCACAAAACTTTCCAAATCTTTCTAAAATTCCAAAAAATTATTATAACTATCATTATTTAGTTTATCTTATAAACTCTAAATTTAACCTTAACAAATTTGCTCGAATTTTACTTTCATTTTATTTAAATTTTCGCCTTGAAAATATAAAAAGACCTCGTCGATTTCTTTCCCTAAATTTTCGTAATATTCTTTCAATTCTTCCTAATCTGCGACAATATTTTTCCTTTAAAACTCCGTAAAAGCCTATTTTTTTATTTTTTCTTTAAATTCAATTAGTTCCTGGTTTTAAATAAACTCCTTATTATTATTATTAATATATTCTTATATTTATTTCCCGAAAAATTCAACTTATAAATTTTTATTTTTCAAAGATTCATTTCTACACATATATTTCCAAGCATTTTAAATAGTAGGAATATTTCCTTTATTTATGGCATTAATATACGCTTTACATACTAAAACTAATTATTAACCATTAAGTGCTTTTCCATTTAAAATTTTGGGTTTTATATTATTAAAAATTTATCTTTTTAAGGTTTTTATTTATTCGATAAATTCAGGTCTTAAATCTTCATTGGGTATATCGTTTAATTTTTGTAAATTTTATTCAGATTCTACTGGACGTATTAAAGGGAAACAATCTCTGTCTTGGAAATAATGTTTGAGAAGTCTTCTTATTTTATTTTTTTATTCTATATTATCTGATATACCTTTTTATTATTCTAAAGCTTTTTCCAAATATTCTTTAGGTGTTATTTTTTAGCCACTTTAATCTACCATTTATAAGGCAAAGTCTCTCAAAATCCACATAAAACTAGGAAAATATTCGCTCAGTATTTATTTTTCGTTACTACTATTTTCTATTTTTAAGTCTTTTGCTAAATTAATTATTAAAGATATTGTATTAAGTGCATTTTCATCTATATTTCCTTATGAGTTGTAAATAAAATATGATGATAATAATAATGAAAATAAAAATATCCTAGAGTCATGGTTTTCATTCTCATCCATCCCTCCAAAACCTTCAGTATCTATCAATATAACATTTAAGTCTTCATTTTTTTAATTTTCAGTTTTTAAACATTCTTTCCATATCCATAAACCCTAAATATTTATCATATAATTTATAAAAAATATAAATATAAATAAATATTTATATATATATTTATATTGATTTATCTATTTTATATAATATAATTACTTTTGTACATGGATTTATTGTTGGTCCGACTGAAAATCCCTCCTTATTTCCTACACGATCTAAAAGTACTCGATTTACAAAAAATGATTTGCCTGTACGATATTTACCTACTATGGATATTACTGCTAACTTTTTTTAAGGATCTAATGATAAGAGATAGTTTTCGGCTTCTTAATTTAGTTAAAAACCTTCTTTTGGATTATATATTATGAAAGGAATTGCATTTTCTGATTTTTATTTTTACATTTATACTTTTTTATTTTTTTATATGTTATATTTCTTTTTTTTTTTTTTTTTTCTTTTTTTTTTTTAAATTTTTTTAAAAATTATAATAAAAATGAATAATTAATTAAATTTTATATAATAAATAAATATATGAAAAAGTTTAATTAAAAAACAAATTATTTTTTTAAGAAATTAACTTAAATAAATAAATAATAAAAAAAAAACATCATATAAATCTATTTAAATACATATAGGATTAAAGCGGATTAATAAATTAAATAAATAAATAAAAAAAAATATATATTTATAAATATATATGGAATAAAACCGTATAGTAAACATAAAACAAGTTGAACTTGTTATAGATGAATTAAAATGCAACGTGTGTGATTGCATAATCGAATGCCCAGTAATGTGTAAAGAGTGTTAAAGTCATTTTTGTTGGAAATGTATTCGTTAATGGTTAGAAACACCAGGTTCAAACAAGTAAAAAAAATAAAAAAAACGATAAAAAAATATTACAAAAAAAATAGAAAATGTCCTAGTTGTAGATCTTTATGGAAAGAAAAAGAAGGCACATTATTAATGAAAAACTTGTTAAGGAAATTGCAATTTTTATGTTTTCATAAAGACAAGGGATGTGATAAAATATTAAATTATGAAGATATTATTTAACATGAGACCAGAAATTGCGATTTTGCAACTAGAATATGTCCTTTTGGTTGTAAATAAAAAGTAATGACAAAAGATTTATAAAATCATAAAGCGGAATGTCCAAATATCGTATCATATGAACTTAAAATGAGAAAATCAAGTAGTTCAAGAAAAGAGAGCATAAATATATCCCAAAATAACGAATTCAATCCTTTTACGAATTTGAAAATTTTACGATAAATAGGATTTTAATGGGAAATACATTTCAAATTGGATAATTGTAAGAATTTTTCGTTAGATTTTCCTGGAATGGGTTGGAAAAAAATATTTAATTTTGTTTAAGGTTTGAGTGGGGTGGCTCCCGATGAATAATTTAATAGATTAAAGGGTAAAGGAGAATTCGAATAATATGGAATTTTAGGTTGGACTTATTCTTTAGAAAATTAATAACTTAAATAAAGTTTACTTAAATGTTTAGTATATTAACTTATATATTATTTTAAAATAATTTGTTCTTTTATTTTTTTCATAATAGGTTTGCTCAAATAAATTATAAGAAGCTATTGAATAATTTAAATAGAGAATTGATTATTTAATATTATGTGAATAGGATGAAGTTTAAGAATATAGTGATGAAGAAATTGAAAACTAGGCTGATTATAATTATATGATTTTAAATTAGATGATTGGATCAATTATTACTTCGAATTAGAATAATAAAAATAAAAAAAAGAAGCTGTATAATGATAATTTTTTATAAGATAATTTATGTTTAATTAGAGAAATCGGTTTGTTTTTTTTAAACTTTAGAAAAAAAGAGAAAAAAATAATATAATTAAATAAAAATTAAAAAAAGGTATTAATTGGGTTGAACATCTTTGTAATTGCTATAATAAAAATATATAAATCGATATAAGAGGTTGGGATCTTTTAGAAGACTTTGCAATGGGATTAAAAGGTACTGCCAGTGATAAATGGTTTTTAGATCTTTCTAATGAAAATGATAATTTAATTTGTTGGAGGGAAATTCTTATTAGTGATGATTTTGATATTGAACTTAGAAAATGTAGTTTTTGTATTTAAATTAGAGATAAAATTGTCGTTTTGTTCAAAACTAGAATCGATAGATTACTTTCTATTGAACATAAAAAAGCTAATCTTTGACAATTTGCATTTTTTAATATAAGTATTTAGGATTTATTTATTTTATTTAAAAAAAAAAAATATAATAATAAATATAAAAAATATTTATTATTTTAGAATAAAAAAGGTTATTTAATTTGTAATTTAAGTAATAAATATTTTATATATTTATTTTATATATAATTTTTGTTTAAATATTTTTATTTTTAAATAGTAAAAATAAAATTTAAAAATAGATAAAAATTATTTATTTAAAAAAATATTTAAATATTATTTTAATTAAAAAAAAATATTTTGTTTTATTAATTATAAATAATAGAATAATATTAAATATAATCTTAAGAAATTATATTTTTTATTTATATATAAAATAAAATAACTTGTAATCTTTATAATTCAGTCAAACCAAAAGATACATGAATTAAAATACATAAAAATAATTTATTTACAAAATCTATTCATAGATATTTTTTTTTAATAATTATTTAAAATATATTTTGTTTAAAATTATACTATTTTATATTTAAAAAAAAAAAATACTTATTTCTTTTTAATTTAATGAAATTTAAAAAAAAAATATCTAATGTTTACGTTTTAAAAAATAAAATAAAAAATAAATAAATCACTTCATAATTACATTAATAAAGTATTTATAAAAAATTGATTTATATAGGACGTATTTAATATTAAATAAAATAAATATTATTTGAGAACTACTAAATATTAATAATGTTTCTATAATAATATATTATGAAGTTTAATTCTTATATTTTATTTAAAAAAAACTTTTATTTTTATATTATATAATAAATATTATTAAAATATATATAAATAAAAAAATAATATGTATATGTATATTTATATATTAAATATTTTCTAAAAAAATATATATATAATTATAATTAGATTAAATATAAAAAATTAAATATTTTTCTTAAATTATATTAATTTATATATATATATAATTTTATTAAAAATAATTTTTTTGGAATATAATTATTTGAAATTTTTAATGAGTTAATTTGAAGTTTACTAAAATACTTTTTTTATTTTAGTTATGTTTAATTATTTTTACAATGTTTAATTTTAAGAAAATAATAATTAATTTTGTATTAACTTATTTTAATTATTTAATTTTTTATAATTCGTTTAATATAAGCTACTTTATCTAATACACTATTTTGTTATATGAAATATTTTTATATTTTTATTAATAATTTTATACAATTTTACTGAAATAATTATAATAATTTATTTACCATATAAATTTCATATTTATTTGAATGTATATTATTTTATTTATTAATTTTTTTAATATATCAGAATAAAATCTAACCTTATTAGACACTCTTTTATTTACCTTATCGTTATTTAAAATTTTTATTAAATTTTCTTATAGTGTTTATTAAATATTCTTTTAAAGATATTAGATGAAAAATTTTATTTAAAAAAATATGTTTAATAAATTATTATTTTTTTATAAGTTTTTAATTATATTTGTATTGTATTATATAGTTAAATTTATTCCAATTTGTAACTTACTTAAGAAAGTTGAAATGGAATTCTTTCTTTTTATATATTAATGGCTTTATTTTTTATTTTAAAAATACGTATATGATGATAATATAAAAGCTAATAAATATTATTTGTATTCCCTTTAATTTATAATTTTTTATTTTATTTTTTATAATATTTTTTATAAAATTAATAATATTATTAATAATTAAAATAATTTTTGTAAATTTTTTTATTTTTTATAACAGTAAAATAATCTAACACTTAAAACTAATAATTATAATTTATTTATATTTTTATTAAACAAATGTAATAATGACTATAGAAAACGGACTTTTTTTTGTTTTTCCTATAAATTATATATAGGACGAACGAATATCTATAAAATAAAATTATATAAAAACAAGTTTATATTATTTAAATCGAGAGATATATGAACTTATTTACTAAAAAGTTTTATTTATTTAAGAAGAATATATAAAAAAATACCGAATTATATTTTCGATAAAATATAGAATTATAAATGTAAAAAATATAATTTTTAACATTTTTAAAAAAATTAATTTTAAATCTTAAAAAAGTTAAAATTGTTCATAAAGCTATTTGTCTTGTAAAATTCATACAAAATAAAATAATTAAGAGTTTATAATTTATAAAAATAATTTTACTAATAAAATAGAAATAAAATAAATTAAACTAATTAAATTTTATTAGTGTGGAAGTTGAAGCTATTTAATGAAAAAAATTTATAATTATAGTTAAAATGACAATATAAAAATGTATATGATAAATAATAAAAAAGTATTAATATTAAAATAAAATTTTATTGATGAAATTAAAAATATATATTTAATTTATTATATTAATGAATTATTTATATTTTTACAATATTTTTTATAGAGATATTAAATTTGAAAAAATAAATAAAATATTTAAAGAATATTATTAAAAAAATAAGATTGTGTTAAAAATTAAAAAAAAGCAAAATAATAATTAAAGAAATAATAATTAATAAAAATATGAGATATAATTTGTTTAAAATAATAATTTAAATAAAAACAACTAAAATTAAAACTAAAATACATATTAAAACATATAAGAATTAAAAAAAAATAGAAAAAATAAAATGATAAATATAAAATAAAAAGATATATAAAATAAAAAGAAAAAATTATAATATAAATAAAAAAATAATGTAAATTAAAAAAAAAGATAGAATAAAATAATTTTAATTAAATAAAAAATTAATGTATTATTAATTAAAAAATAACAAAATAATACAATATTTATTAATATATATTATATTAAATAAAATATAATATATATATATATATATTATATTTTTATATATTTAAATAATTATATAATTATATATTATTATATTTATTTATATTAATATATATTTTTTTATCATATATATATTATTTTATTTTTTCTTTTATTAATCTGAATTATTATTTAAATTATACTTATTTTTTACAGCTATAAGATTTTTTTTATTTATTTGATAGTTTATGCGATTTTATTTTTTTTAGTTATTTTATCTATAAATTAAATATTAAGCATCTTTTTTACTTTAAATTTGAAAAGATATAATTTTAATAATAGTTATGATTATTTTAATATTTTTTTTATTCATTTTAATGTTGATTTAAATATTTAGTTTTAATCTAGATAATTAATATATTACATATAATTTATTTATATTGTGTTTGTTTTAGATAATAATATTTCTTGATAATCCCTTTCAATAACTTTTATTTTATTTCTATTAAGATATTAAAGCTGAATTTATTTTTAAATTTTTTAATAATGTGAAAATTTTTAAATAACTTTTTCAAATGCTTTGATATTTAAAATGAAAGATAATGTATATTTACCTTTGATATAAATTATATATTATGAAGATAATATTCAATAAAATTGTTTTTATTTTGTTAATTATAGAATAATAAGTTTATATTTTCAAAATGAAAAAACTTTATAATAATTTGATAATATATTTTTTTTTTTTTTTTTTTTTATAAAATATGTAAATGATGGTGAATTATTTTGTTTAGGCTTTTTTTTTTATTAAAGCTATGATTTATAAACGAATATGAAAAGTATTAGGTATAATTTTAAGTGTAATATATATTAAAATTTATTGACTTTTTAAGAAACTTTGATAAAATTTAAAAATTAAAGGAAAAAAAAATTCTTATGTGATATATTTTATTAAATATGGTTAAAGGTTGATAATTTATATATAAAATATCTTTCTAGTCGACATTTTAATCATATGTTTGTAAAATTTTCTTATTTATTTTATGTGAAGAAAAATTATATAATTTTTTAAAAATATCTTAGAGATATTAAAGAAGCTAAAATTAAACTTAAAACTTCAAAAAATATTTAATTTTATATTCAAGAATAATAATGAATTTTTAAAAGAAAAAATATGGAAACTATCTCGAATTCAGAGTTGGAATTTTTTTTTATCTAAATTTTCTTCGTCTTTATAATCTTCTTTCAGTATTTCTTCAAATACTTCTTTTTAATAATTCTTAAAGAGGAAAAAAAAAAAATCAATTATTAATTAAACTTCTAATAGTTTTAAAAATGAAATATAATGTTCTATATATATTAACTTATATAATGAACATTAATAAAATAAAAATTGGAAAAAAAAGTTAAATTTTAATAAAGGATATTGCTAATTCATTAAATAGGAAAATAATAATAAAACTGATTAATTTTATTTATTAAATAATTTAATAAAGTTAGAAAGAAAGAAAGAATCGTATAACTTCTTATAGTTAAATAGAATAATAAAAAGATAAAGAAATTAAGGAAATAAATAAATTTAGGAAAATAAAGAAATAAAATTAAATAATAAAATCAATTAATAATTGCTAGTAAAACATAATCAGTAAATAAAAATATAAAATATTATTTTGAAATAATTTTTAAAGAATTAATTGATGTAAGTTAATTTAATGAGAATAATTTAAAAATAAGTGATAGATATGTAAATTTTTTGAAAAGAGAAAAGAAAATACGAAAAAATTTTAATAAACTTTATAAATTGGTTGATAAAAAATAACGAGAAAAAATATATTTTTAATAAATATAAAAACTTATATTAAAACAGAAAAAAATGTTTTTTTGTTTGATTTTTTTTTTTTTTTAATTAAGAAGTAATTTTAATAAGAAATAAATAAAAAAAAAAAAAATTTAAATCTATAAACTATATTTAATTAATTAAATTATTTATTTATTTTTTTTAAAAAAAAGATAATGCTTTATAAAGATAAAATACATTTATTAATAATAACAAATAAGATTAAAATAATTTAAAATAATAAATCAATATCCTTATTGATTTTCATATGAATTAAATTTAATAAAAAAAGTCTTTTTCAATTCCATATTAAAATATTATGACAAGAAAATCTAAAAAGTCTTAAGTTATAAAATAAACAAACAAACAGTCGACTGAATTTTTTTTTTTTAAATATAAAAAAAATACATAATATAAACTTATTATTTATTATATTAAAAGATATTCAATATTTTTTTAATAAATTTTATTTTCTTTTCAATTAAAATCCTCTTTTTATTCTATTTAATTTATTCTTTAATTTATATATGTATTTATAGTTAAACCTTTAATTATTTCTTTAGAATTATCTTCATATTAATTTTTTAAAACCTCTTTTTTTACATCTATAAATCTATTATAGTTTTCTTATTTATAATACTTTAAAATATCATATACAATAAAAAATCCAGCAATTAAACTAATTCTAATTAAAATTGCCTTCCATTATGTATATTCATATTCTTGTTAAATTTTTGCATAATTTTCATATTGATCTCGTAAGTTTTCTTCTTTTCCTTATTTTTTATATCCATACCATTTATTTTACCAATATTATTTTTTATTCTTGTTTTTTCCTTCGTTATCATAATATTATTTAAATTATTATTCTGTTGCTTCTTCGTTAAAATGAGGATTATAATTTCCTAAATCATATATTTATCTTTTATATGGATCTTTTAATGTTTCATAGGCTTTAGTCATTACTTTAAAAACTTCCTTTTTTAATTTATTTTTGTTATTAAAATAAAAATAATACAGTCGCATTATCTTTATCAGGATTTTAATCAGGATGCCATTCTTTAGCTTTTTATTAAATATATTCATTTTTTTTTTTTTTTGAATATTTTTTATATTTTACCTTTTTATATGTATGCTTTTTTAATTTAACTTATATTTGATTATTATGTTATTCCTAAAATTTCATAATAGTTTTATTGTTGTAATTTTTTTACATATGAAAAGTGTTATTTTATTATAAATTTATTTATATTTAAATATTTAAAGTTATTTATCATTTTTTTTTTTATTAAAAAAAATATAAATTTAAAAAAAAAAAAATTTCTTGTTTTTTTGTTTTTTTTTATATATATATTATACAATAATAAATAAAATATAAATTAATTATTAATTATAATTAAAAAAAATGTCTATTTTAATAAAAAAGAAAATTTAATCATCATTCGAATTTTTTCCTTGTTTAAGATTTATTTTAATACTATTAAAAGGAATTTTAATTTTATTAATATTTTACATTATTAATCATAAACTAATTTAAAAACATATTATTAATATCTATTGAGTTTTCCTTCATTTATATTTATTATTATTATTAATAGGAAGGTGATTATTTCCTTGATTCTTAAAAGCTAGAATTATTAATATCTTTAATTTTATTTAAAATACTATTATTAATATCTTTATTTCTATTATAAGAATTATTTTAATAATTTCTTGTTTGATAATTATTTGAAATTGAATTATTAGAAGAATCTAATTTACTTGTTTAATTATTTGACTTTATTAAAAATTTGTTTAACTCACTTTAATCTTGATTTTAATAAGGTCTAGGGGCAATATATTATTGAAGATTTTTAACTTCTTGTATTTCTTCTTTTTAATATTATGAATATGAGTCACTTTCTTATTAAGAAGGGAATTTTTTTTAATTTAAAGTTTAATCATCCTTTTTTTTTGATTTTTGATTTTTTTAAAAAATAACTGTTTTTTTTTTTATTTACTAATTATGAATTTTCATTATTTTATAATGTTTAATATGATTAAGTCCCATAAAATTCTTTGAATTAATTTTTAAATTTTAAATCCAAACTTTCTTCTTCGAGTTTTATTTTTTGTGGCTTTAATGTATTTTTTAATTCAAGCTTTTATTTTTATTTTTTTTATAATTTTATTCTTTTTAAAAATATTTACTATTTCGTTTTCTAATTCTTTTTTCTTATTTCTTATTTCATTTAATTATATATTATCTTCATATCTTTAATTTATTATTTCATAATAATTATAATTTTAATTTCTATTTATTTATCTTAATGACTATTTGTTTTTTTTGAAATAAAAAATAAAGTCATTAAAATTTATACTTCTAGTCTTTTCTTTAATTACTCTTACTTTTATAGTTCTTTTTATTTTTTTCCTTAAACACTTTAATAAAAAAAAAGGTTTAAATATTATTTATTTTTCTTAATTTACAATTATGGAAAAAATTTTATCAATAAATCATTTAACTTAACTTTTTCAATTAAAGTTTTTTAAAATATTTTATTTAGTTGATAAGATCCTGCCTTTAATATAAATAAAATTTAAAATAATTTATAATTATATATATTATATTTTATATTTAAATTACATTATATCTTGTATAAACACTTTTTATTTACTCTTTAAACTCGTTATTTCTTATTTATTGAGAATTTCTTTATATTTGTAAATTAAAATAATTTTATTTATATTTTTACAAAGTTTCATTAAAAGCTTTTATTTCATTTAAAATATTCCTTATTTATATTTATTTTTTTCAAAATAAATATTTATTTTTTACTTTTAATATAATTCAGTATATTGCTTATATTTTTAAATTCTTTCATTTTATCTTTCCTATATTTATTATTTATCACTGTTACTATTAATGTTATTTTTATAAAAAAATATTTTTTCTTTTAAATAAAATTACAATTCTTATAATATTATATCAATATTTTATAACATTTTTTTTTTTTTTAAATATAAATAAAAAAAAAAAAAAGTATAATTAAATTTAATAAAATTATTCATTTTAAATTTTTTTTTTAAAAAAATATTAATTTAGATAAAAAAATTGAAATAATAAATAAAAAAAATCATATTAAATAAAAAAATTATATTTAAATTAATTAAAATAAAAATATAAAGAAGAAATAAAAAAAATTAAATATAAAACTAAAAAAATCATAAAAAATATTTAAAATAAATAAAAAAATGGACGCACCTCAATTAAATGAAGATGAGCTAAATGAAATATATAGTTGGGTTGATTCAATAAGCCTTTCAAGACCAAAAAAAAATATGGCAAGAGATTTTGCAGACGGAGTATTAATTGCAGAAGTAATAGCACAATTTTTCCCAAGACTAGTTTAATTACATAATTATTCAGGTGCAAATTCAATGAAATAAAAAATATATAACTGGGAAACATTATAATGTAAATAATAATATATAAAAAAAAAAAAAAAAAACTAGTTTACAAAATATAAAATATTAGCAAAGGTTTTTAAAAAAATAGGATTATAATTAAGTAAAAATGATATTGAAAGTGTAATAAATTGTGTCCCAGAAGCTATTGAAAGAGTATTAAGAGTACTCCAATTGAAGATTTAAGATATGCTAAATGGATAATAAGGTTCACCTTAAAAAAGAGTTAATTATTCAAACGGGTCAGGAAGTGATTAAGGTAACGTTTTATAATAATCAAAAGGAAGTCCTAAGTAAAATAAAAGGTATTTTTTGCTATTTATTTTATTATATTTGTATATATATTAATTTATACCTTTTTAATATTTTTTAATACGGATAATAAGGATAATAAAGAGCATAATCTTCATAAAAATAAGATGAGATTATATGGGAAAAGGATTAAACAATAAATGAATTAAGAGAAACTATAGATGTAAAGAATTTTTTTATTTATTATTATTATTTTTTTTGTTTATTTTTTATACAGTAGAAATTAGTTTTTAATAATTATTGGTGTTTTTAATTCCTTTTTTTATTTTTTACTTTAAATAATATATATTTATTGTTTTTAATTTAAATTTTTATATATTTAATATTTAGATTTTAGAATTAAAAATTAAAAAATTAGAAGATCTTATTAAACTTAAAGATAATAAGATTAATACACTTTAAAATAAGTTAGCAGAGCACGGACTTTATTGAATAAGTATTTGATAATTACTTATTTTTTTATATAAAAATATTATATATATTATTTATTTATATATCTTTTTATTTTTTTTAACTTTAATTTTTATTTTTTTTTACAAATTCAATAAATAAAAAATAAGACAATAAAAAATAATTAGTGGTCTTGCCTTTTTTTCGTATTAATAAATTAAGTTTTTTTAAAAATAAAAACTAATATATTATTATTAGTTAACTTAAAAAAAATTAAATTTAAATTTTTTTCATTTATATATATTATTAAAAAATTAAATTGTTAATTAAGTTGACTAAATAAAGAAGAAAAAAAAAATATTCAAGATTTTATAATTAACATAAAAATATCATTTAATTTGTAAAAAATAATACATAATTTAAATAGTTTAAATCTTTAATTCATAGTTTGTTTACTTTTTTTATTTTCATTCTTGAATTTTATTAGTAATTATTTTTGTTATGTTTTTTTTTTAAAAAAAAAAAAATCATTAAATTTCAAGATATTTAGAATTCTAAAAATAATTATATTTAAAATATTTAAAATAAAATAAAATAGAATATTTTTATTTATAATTAAAAGTATTTTTTTTTTTTTAATTAAAATAAAATTAGATTAAAAA